TTATTATTATTATTATTATTATTATCAGTTAATCGTCTTGTCTTTTTTCACATTGTTGTATTCCAGAATGAAATTTTCCCCATAGTGGGGGGAGGATTATTATTATTATTATTATTATTATTATTATTATTATTATTATTATTATTACTTTCAGTTAATTTTCTTGTGCTTTTTCACATTGTTGTATTCAGCAATGAAATTTTCCCCTAGTGGGAGGAATAAAGTATCCTTGTAATTGTATCCTTTGTATCTCAGATACAATTGTCAAGTTCAGTGCTGTTTAAGATAAATGTATAGAAAACATGCTTAATATCATAGATGTCCTACTCCACATAACATTGAATTACTTTTATTGATTAAACTTCAATCATCTGCTATATATATTTATTGCAATAAAGCAAATTTGAGATTGAGACTTGAGATTGATGGATCATCTTTTCACCGTGATCAAGTGATAATCATACATTTAACTAATAAGAATCAATCTTGAAGAAAATCTCAGTTTGTATTGCATTATTATTTAACTGCATTGTTCATCTTTTCTTTTTTTTAATTGGTTCGAATACCTCAGAAACTAAACATAGATAATAAATCATGTCAAATCAATGTTAGTTTGCACAAAATATATAAGCGGGCATGATTGTTATTACCAGCATGAATTGAAAAACTGTTTATGATGAGTATTTATTCAAAATTTAAGTCTAAGAGTGCCATTTCCGGCCAACTATGGTACCATAATCATAAATTTTCTTACCTCAGCCCCAACCATGGTGGTCTCCACTCCATCTATAAAAGTCTCCCTGGTCCCCCTCTATTTCAAATTCCTGGATCCAGCATTGTGCTTTGAAAATGTAGTGTGAAAGTATGTTAAATATTAGTAAATGACAATATTGATGATGTGAAATAAACTGAACTCAACTGAATTGCATTCATCAAAATCAATTAGATACGACTTATAAAAGGCTATAGACACCAGAGCTTTTGGGCCCCAATCCCCACTGGGGCCCTGAGTGGCCTAGAATGCTTCTTACTTTGCAATTTATCCCTTTCAACCACGGATCGATGCCCTTGTGAACAGCAGACAAACTCTCTTTTTAAAAAATAATTTTTCAGAGGTCAAGAACATTTTTTTTTTCAATTTTCAATCAATCATAGTGGTGTGGAATAGTCTTTTAACATTTCCCATAAAAAAATTATTAGCATACAATCCTCCGTTATTGATTTTTTAATAACACAATATCATGAATTCAGAATCAAAATTACCTTATTTTTCTGTTTGTGGTTATGCATCACTGGCTTTGGCTGTTTGTCATCACTTCTTGTCTATCAATTCCCACCAAATGGTTTGATTGTTTCTTATTTTGTAAAAGATCAAAACTTGCACTAAATCTTGGTGATTAAGGAGTCATCTAACGTTTTTACAATAATACTATAAAATACTGTACATGCGAGAGTATACTAATATCAAAGCTGTCTAAAGAAACTAGGCAACTTCAGAATGCTTTGAACCCGCCTATGCACCATCACTGATCTATTGTCTACTGTGTCTATGAATTGGTGAAAAAGATGAAATAGACAAGTACATGTTCTAAGAAACGAACTTCTTGAAGGTTAATAATAATCATTGATTATACAAGCAACTAAAATTTTAATTTTTTGGAGGCTTCTAAAAGAAAACATTATATATCAAGTATCTGTATTGTGTTTGGCTTTACAGGTATGTCGCTATCCAAGGTATTGCAGTTTGTAGATGATAAAGATCTTGAGTGTGCCATCTGCCTTAGCAGGTTTGACCAACCAAAAATACTGAAATGCATGCACACCTTCTGTCAACAGTGTATCCAGAAATGGATGGAAAATCATGGAAAAATGAAGTGTCCAACATGTAGACAAGAACATGATTTAACAAAAGATGATTTAAAACAACTTGCTTCAAATACAATGATAGGTAAGGTACTAGAGTATGTTGCTAAAACAGAAGAACAGAAACCAACTAAATGCTCTGTCTGTGACAATACACCAGCATACCACTGCTCAACATGTCAAGTGTATCTGTGTGGAGGTAATTGTTTCAAACAACACAAGATACTACCTTCCACAAAAGATCACCCAATTTACACACTAGACATAAAGAAACAAGAGGACAAACAAACCAAATGTCCAGTTCACTGCAACACCACACTGGAATTCTATTGCTCTACTTGCAACAAATCAGCATGTAAGCAATGTGAAGACGTTCTTCTCTGTTATCAAAAACAACATGAAGTTATTCTATTGTCAGATGCTGTACGTGAGTTTAACAAAGATGTCAATAACGTTTTCAAGTCAGCTCATGAATTTAAAAGAAAATTATCTGAACACCTAGAATTCACAACTACAGATAGATCAGTATTTGATTTATGCAGAACAGCCATCAAAATTCATGAAGCTATACTCATCAAGAAGGTTACAGAAAAAAGCCAAAAACTATTGTCGAACCTGGAAGAAATATACAAAGAAAAAAACAAAGACATTGGTAATATTAATTCAAAGATTATTGAAGTAAATAATCTAATGGCCTCAATCAATACAATGATAAACAAACCAGAAGAAAGAGAAACCCTTTCATCACATGAAGCCGTTATCAACAATGAAAGAGACATATTCTTAGGAACAGATTTTGAACAGTCATTTCAAAAGAGAAGTGTAACTCCAATTTTCATTCCATCTACACACTTGGATGAGTTAATAAATACAGTGGGAATTGGTAAACTCACAACTGCTGATAGCATAACTTACACAGTTGATGAAAATGATGAACAAATTACTGTCACAAGAGGTCAAGCATTTGTAGTGAACAATGATGCATGCCAATTAGCTGCAGCTTCAACTGATTCATCAGATGAAAAATCAGCAACTAGTGTAGAATATCAGGGAAGTGGAGAGTACAAAAAAGAGGATAAATGCAGTGATGTGGAAGGTGATTGGCAAACTACTAGAGCTGTGCACATCAAAGGATCTCCAGTGAATGTCAATGACGTGGGAACACTGGGAATTGTTCATACTATTGATAACATATCAGATTATAAAGAACATAACATAGAGAATGTCACAGATGTAGTGTTAGATACAGAAGGAAACATATTAGTATCAAGCTTTAGTAAAGATATATTAAAATTCAACCAATCAGGTTCATTTGTTACTAGGATACAGGTGCCACAAGATGTGCAGGTCTATAGAATGCATCAAATGGGTGATGGTCACATAGTGTATACTGATGTTTTACGAAAATGTGTTGTAATGTGTGATGATAAATTTCAAGAAATCCAATCATTTGGCAAAGGAATAATAAAATATCCAATTGGCTTAACAGTAAACAATGAATTAAGAGTACTGTATGTAGCAGATGATGAAACTCATTGTGTGTTTAAATTTAATGTTGATGATGGTAGCCTGCTGGGTAAGATAGGCTCAGAGGGTAGTGAAGTATGTCAGATGAATGAGCCACAAGATGTCACTTTAACTAAGGAAGGTCATGTGATTGTTGCTGACTTGGTAAATCAAAGAATACAAATGTTTGATGCAAGTGGTAGGTTTATGAGAATCCTTGTAGGCCAAGGTGGAGAAGATAGTGAAATTGTGAATCCTTATGGTGTGACCATGGATGAGGATGAAAATCTAATAGTATCAAGTAACCACAAAGTACAATTATTTGACAAAAATGGCATGTTCATAAAACGAATAGACGATGGTGGTTTAGATATTCCATGTGGAATCACAGTAATCTCCAAAAGACCAAGGAGAGTGGCAGTAGCGGACCACGGAGCAAACAATGTTAAAATATTCAATTATTAAAATGATATTGAAATACTCCTTCAAGGCTTCAGCCTCATTAATATATACATATCTACAGTATTTTAATATAGTAATCAGTATGCTTGGTATTACACATTATCTACAGTATTTTAATATAGTAATCAGTATGCTTGGTATTGCACATTTCGTCAGATTACAAAGTAAATTCATGGGAATAATTATTATAATATAATATTTACAATAATAATATAATAAATTTCTATGTTTATACATCAACTACTATCGTTGGTAATTATCATAACTATTAAATCAGAGAGTAATTTTGTTACATATGAGTATTCTAAAACTACATTCATGCATTTATGAAGTAGTATATAATTAATAGGTAAAATAGAAAGCTCAAAAATAGTCCTACAACTAGATTATAATAATAAATAAACTTAAAAATTAATTTTATTATAATTATGTTTTATTGTTTCTTTTATATTTGTAATTTGTGTGGATTTTTGTTGTTTCTTTAGTGTCTAGAATGTATCTTGTAAACATCATGTGATATAAATAAGAAAATAGATTATGAATAAAGTATATAAGCAGCGGTTTATTTGAATTTACTCTCTTGTTACTTTCAAATTACTCCTGCTACTCAAGTTTATAAAAAACCCCTGATAAGGAATCAATATTGAATCATATACATTCATTGGAGGATGGGGAGGAAGAGATACATTATAATTAAAAGGAGTAATTGCAGAGCTGCAGTGCACTGACATGGAAATACATGTGGAGACAAAGGATAACAGTGTAGGAGAGGATGGACATAAAGAGAAAATGTGGCCAAAAATAAATGAATGAAGACAAAATGTTGATGATTAATGCCACAGGGTGTGAATAATTAAGAATGTTAAATAATAATGATAAATGTAATGTATTGCAATTAATAATAAAAATAATAAATTCATAGTAGTAATGATTTATAAAAATTATAATGAAAAAATATATCATAAAAGGATTCATTGATCGATTAATTGATTGATAGATCATCTTTGAATCAATGATATTGATTCAAAGATGACTCTAGTAAAGAATCTAATAGTTTTAATAAATCTAATGATGAACAAACCAGAAGAAACAGAAACTCTTTTATCCCATAAAATCTGTTAAAGACAAAGTTTGTAGGAACTGATTTCGAACAATCATTTCACTGGAAAATTATTAACCACACTTTATTCTGTCTACTAAACTGGATGAGTTGAATAATACAAATGGAATTGGTAAAATCACAACTGATAGCCTGAAAAACAAGGTTGCTAAAAATGACGAACAAATTACCGTACTCGCGCGAATAAGCGCCCGGCGCTTAAAATATTTTTTGCACTTTTTGAGGGGCGCTTATTCAAATGGGGCACTTATTCGAACTGGGGGCTTATAAAAACAGAGTGAAAATTGAGGGGGCGCTTATGGAAATAGATGAAAATCGAGGGGTTCTTATGAGAACTTATTAAATCCAAGACGCACATTTTGAATGAAAAACGATTAAATAAGGACATCAGGAAACCGCAAATTACGAATGGTGCTGCGGCGGAAAAAATAATCGTCCAGAGAGCATGGCTTGTCATGACAAGAAAGTTGTGAGTACAGTATTACATAACAACAGAATAGCAGATGAAATTAGTGGTGGTGGTTAGCTTGTTCGCCATCGGTCGATTGAGAATAGCAGGACGGCATGATCATTGCCGGTTTTCTTGAAAACTTAGATGGGAATGTGTTAAAGGTGCAAATTGTCGGAAAAGGAGTAGTAGGACTAGGCTATAAATGAAAGAAGATGAAAGTTGGAAATATTCTGTCTGTCCAGGGAGCTCTCATCATTCTGTCAAAGATAAATATCCTCACTTTGATATTGACTAAAGGAGAATGTGATTCCACTCCACACCTCAAATCATGCCAACATCCACAGTCCCAGGATTGATTGGGTTATTGAGGGGGCGTTTATTCAAATTAGAAGGGAGCGCTTATTCAAACGGGGCGCTTAAGGAAATTTTCTCATTATAAGGGGCGCTTATTCGATAGGGGCGCTTATTCGCGCGAGTACGGTACTGTCACAAAATGTCAATTAGCTGCAAATCTACTGAGCTCATCAGGTGAAGAATCAGCAACTGAGATAGAATATCAGGAAGGTGAAGAGTAAAAAATAACAGGTAGATGCAATGTGGAAGGCAAATGGCAAATGATGATAACTGCTGGAGCTGAGCACATCAAAGGATCTCCAGTGAATATCAAGGTAGAAACATTGGGACTTGTTCATACCATTGATAACATATCAGATTATAAATAACAATAAAATACATACTGTGTCAGATGTAGCGATAGATAGAGATGGATGCATATTAGTATCAAGCTACAGTAAAGATATATTGAAATTCAACCAATCAGGCTCTTTTGTTGCTAGGATACAAATGCCACAAGATGTAGAGGTCTGTAAAATGCATCCAATGGCCGGGTGATGGTAAAATGTTGTATTATAATGACTTAGGAGTATGTGTTGTAATGTGTGATGAAAAACTTCAAGAAATCTGTTCATTTGGAAAAAAAATATTGAAAGATACTATAAGCTTCAGAGTAAACAAGAAATCTAGATTCTTGTATGTAACAGATTGTGAAGCTCACAGTGTATATAAATTCAATGTTGATGGTAGATTGCTGGGTAAGAT